TTTTTGAAATAAAGTCTTTTGATATTGTTATTTTTTTATTATTTTTTATAATATAACACACATTTTTGTAAAACAAAATTATAAGTTAAATGCATAAAAATTAAAAATCAGCACAAGTTATTGTAACTAAAATTTCTGATATATATTTGATTAAATGTCATACGCGACTATATACATTAACAATTTTGCACAATGTGGGTATTGAGTGCAATGTGTGCATTTTCCGATTTTGTAAATACGTACGTACATAATAATATTTCAAATTTTAAATAATAATATTGACTATATGGTAAGTATGGATAGTATAAGAAATTACCCAAAGCTTATATAAATCTAAACCACTGTTTTTTGCATAAAAATATTTAAGACGACTTATACAAAATACTACTCTTTTAGACATCAAATAAGTGGTAGTAAGGTCTACAGTCGGATTACGACTGCGCTTGTTTGCAGTAAGCGGCCACGCGCCTATAGACTTCATTTCACTCTCTTTCAGCCAGGGGTTGATAACCGTTTTAACTAGTCCATTGATTATTGTAATAATAACAAAATTTGTTTGAAACACTTTGAACGACAAATAAAGCTGTAACTATTATTCAAATTGTAAAACACACATCTCACCTAAATAATTATAGAATCCATATTATATTCTGTAGATGGTAACAAAAAACGTTGGCCTGGACTAAGTAAGAACTTAGTTAAAATAAAGCAGATGTACTTAAATTAAATAAAACACTTTAACGGTTTAAAACGCTATATATTTTAGTTAAACTTTTTTGAGAATTATTATTTTTTAACTACGGCCCGACTTTTCGGATGCGTTGATGTCTCCCGGAGACCACGGCTGTTGCATAGCATAATATACCGCGTTTTAAACCGTTAAAGTGTTTTATTTAAATGTGTACTACTCGCGTAAACTACAGACAGATGTACTCAAGCAAATATAGAAGAATTTATCGTTCAGTAATGCACATCTCAGTATTTTCGTTTATTACGGCGATTTTGTTTTGTGCCAGAACTTATAAATAACAAATTTTCCTCAAAGCGTAGCTAGAATCATTGTAGTCAATGAATGTGGACGCACCAAAGATTGGCAGCTCATGGATCGCTAAGCGCAAGCCTAACATTTGCCCAGTGGGGATAGGCGCCGGGGCACTCCGGAAAAAACGTAAAAATACTCTACTTAGTCAATAATAACAAATGCGCGCGCGCACCTTTTTTCCTATCATTTCCAATTGGAATATCGTCAACCGCGGATGGTTCGGGCCGCGGTCTATTTCATTTTCGTGAATTCGCCACTCTTGTACAAATAAAAGCCAATGTCACTTTTACCGCGCGTTTGCCTTTGTCAGATTTGACGTAATGTTGGCTTTTTAAAAATATCGCGATAATGTACTTGTAGCTGTGGAAATATGGCAGTGAAGTGTTTTAAAAGTGTTCTTTGTACTGTGATATTATTTTATCTTCTAGCTAATATTTTGGACAGATGCGATGCATACAGTCCGCGGGGTGAGTAAAGATAAATTATACTACATAACTCAGTAGAACTTTTTTTTTAATTATTTTATAATAACAAAGTCGTACGAAAAAACTGTTTTTTCAAAATAGCAGTTACTTGTGTAAAAGTCAAGTTTTAAAGTTTAATTTTTATCGATTCAATAACTATGTACAAATATTCGTTTCAAAGTTAACCAAAGAACACTGTAACAGAAATTTGCCAATAGGGTACATGTCCAATTACAGTAATCTATACGTCGAAATTAAAGTAAGAAATCTCGCGAGAATAAGTAACAGGTCGAACAAAATAATGGGTTTTCACCCTATAGCTCTGGGCGTTAACTTGGTGCTCAATTAGAGTGGCCCTTACTATGCAAAAACATAGCTGCATTTTAAACATAGTTGCAATAATAAGTAATAATACGTAGGTCTTTACGATCAAATATGTCCAACAAAAAATATTACTGTCCATACCTACCCTTTCCAATAAATTAATATTTTTAAATAAATCATTGGTTTTGTATTATATTATCTATAAAATAGAGATATATAATCTATATTATTTTAAATATAGTTTTTCTTCCCTAAATACATATTGACAAAATTAGCCCAAGCCGAAAGAAATGCCTAAAATAAAAAAATCTAGCTAACCGTTCCTGCTTACGGGTATTAAATTACATTTTTTACACTCACTTTCAAACACATTATTTTTATTTTCAAAGGTTATAAAAATAATAAATAAAGTGTATGTGTTTGGTTTACGAACTCCCCACAGAAAATATTTTAAGAGTGTAAGAATTTGTCAAATCGGTCAAATAGTTTCAGAGCCTATTCTTTCAAACAAACAATTTACCTTTCACACATTGAAAATACGCGAGTATTTTTGTCTTAAGAATCTCGCGAAACTAAAGTTAAACTCTATATATTTACCAGGATATACGTAACGCTTTAGAATAATAAATAGGACCTTCCTTCAGATATTATCGCCACTGGACAGCAGCCAAGAAATGTTTTGATTCGACCAACTCTCACTTTTAAGTCGATAATAAGGCTACTTTTAGAGTCGCATTTCTGTCACTAATACTCTAAATCGATGTTAATTATTTTATGATCAGTAAATTGATCATAACAGGAAGAAATAAATTAATTTGAATTTAACATTTATTATAACAAACTACGATACAAAGTTGCGTACTGTCCGTACTTTACGCGAGTAGTACACGTTTAAATTAAACACGTAAACGGTTTAAAACGGACTTGAGGCAACTTTAAATCTCAAATATAACAAGCATAATATTTTCCCGCTTCCTTCTTCGTTCTCTACCTTTGCATAAGTCAAAGTTTAAAGTTGTATAACTATTTAAAATTTAAAACAACTGTGAGTCCCACCTCATAGCATGTTGTTCAAATTGATTATTTATAGGAGTTACAATAAGTTACGAAACATTTGAAATTACGAAGAAAGACAATTACAAAAAGCGTTCCGCCAATTACAATGGCACGTGACATCACAATGGTACTGTTGATGAATTTCTCGTTCTGTTTATTCCACTTGGCACTCTATCAGTTTCAACCAATCACTTAATTCATCCTAATGAATACCAAATATTTCTGACTTTAACTAAAAACGCGGCATTCTAGAAGTGTAATTTTCCAGGAAAGGAATTTGTTATTGTCCAGGAAAATTATTACAATTTCCTCACTGGAAATGTTTTATCTACTGCTTTTAATACCACTATATATTCCCGTTAATACCACTATAAAAAACTAAAAAATTTCCTATTTATCTAAGTTTTTCGAGTACGTTAAAAGTGAATAATTTGTATCTTATAATTTTTATCTTCTAGTATATATAGGACTAATCTAAAATTAGTTAACTCCGTCACATAGTACTTCATTGTCAAATCTATTTGTTCAATGTCTATTTTAAAAAAATATTTAAATAGACATCTATTATTGTTTCAAAAAACATGAGACCACGAGAACGAGCTTAATTCGTTATGACGTAAGTCACAAGTTGAAAAGGAAAAGTTCAAAGTGGAACAAACCCGTTGAATCGGCAGGTCTACTCAGCACTCTATCGATTTTCAGATATTTATCGAGTTTCTAAGATTGTGACGATTGTAAAATCGAATTAGATGCACTTTCACGTACTTACGCTGTATGAGGAAGTAATCTATCGCATGGCTTTTCTTGCGGGCGGCAAGAGACGCCGCCATTGTTTGGCTTTTCTCGGAAAATGCATACGTCGTAAACATGTCAATTGTCGTTATTAATTTATTATCCGATAAGTATACACTTTCATTGTTGAAGATTAAGCTTCTAATTAAAAATCAATGGTAGAAGTTATAAGGTGTATTTTGTACGTAATCACCAATGTGCAATATTATCTACATGCTCTCCACAATAAAAGAGTTAGTGGGAGCTTAACTATTTTCTTTTAAGGCTGAAATCGTAGGAATCAAAGAAAAGACCAATAATTATTATATGTATATGATAACCCGGAAATCAAACTCGTTGTATAATCGCTGTCCCAACTTGACTGTAAAATATAATCAAGTAATGAGATGTACGTCTAAGGAAGCCGTAAGCAATGATTGGATAACGAGGGTCCAATATCGCGGAAATATTGATTTTGTTACGAAGTAATACAAGATGGCAGTTTCTCGGCTTTCACTCTCAAGGGTCACGGGTTCGACGCCTGGCCTGAGATCGTAACAAACCACGCGGCAAATTAACTTATTATATTGCGGAGTTACTCGGCTATCAATTTGTTATTGTGTTTCAATTGATAGTTAACTATGCGAATAAAATTGATTTTGATGCACTCTTGACAGTGAGATTCGATTCTAATTTAGACAAGCGAATGACGGTTTTGTTTTTCTAGTGGTATCAGTACCCGACTTTGTGAGATTCGGGAGTTCCATCCTCCATCGTGGACCATATTTGTTTGAAGTGATCACATTTAACATAATAATAATTAATGGTAGACTAATACTTATATTGTTAATACATTTAAATTATTTATAATTCCTTTGTGAATTATTATTGTAACGAAACCCCTTAAAGAATTGTATTCTTTTGAAAACTTTAATATTTTTCCACATGATGGCGTTATATAAATTAAAAATCGATTATAAATCATTAAAGTATTAACGACACGGGCAGAACTTGAATCGGCGTCGCGTTCCGTGTTGTTGCCTTAACCAATTCTAAGAATTCTATTCTTGTTGAATGCATATTAGGGAACATTGGTCGTAGCCTCAGAGCTTGGTCTTAGAAATAACGTATAAAAGTATATGTATATATATTCTATGTATACAACAAAATTTATATTCTGTTGTATTATAATATTGTTCTTCTATTCTTCATTACTCCTTGAAATTGTCCAGCTTTTTCCATGAACGCCGATTGCGTCAGAGGTTCTTATGGTGTTTGCTATTGCATCATCGTGAACTTGATTCGTATTGAGCAATCGCCGATAGAGAAATAATAAGTGCATTATGGTGAAAGATGTGATGCAATCCCATTTCGGGTGCTACAAAATGATTGGTTCGTGATCGGTTTCTAATGAGATAACATCTGTGGAAGCATGTGTGAAATTTAATTTACTATCTTGTGAAGATACGATAATTGATGGTTATCTAAATTAAAGAATGCTAGCTGGTGTAAAACATGTGGCTTACGAAATATCTTGAATTTTAAACTGTTAATTTTTTATACACAGTGATAAAGAAAACAGTGTATGTTGCTTACGCGACTAGTACACCTTTAAATAAAACTTTTTAATTTGAAAGATATTTTAACTACGGCCCGTGGTTTCGAATGTTCTGCAGCAGTCGTGGTCGCGGGGAGACTGATGTAAGTGTTTTCCTGGAATTTTGCGGAATTCCGGTCAAAGTCAAAAAGATCGAAGATTGAAATCGGAACTAATCGGGAAGTTCCATTCAGTAAGCTCATTTCCATTCGCGTGTCATTCATTCGTCATAATTAGTTTTTAATGGACTTTCCTTGACACGTGCATTCGTTCATTCATTAGCTATGGTAATTTGTATTAATGGGTTAGTAATGAGTTTTGAAAAAGTGACGTCACCGTTCATTTGTCACCGCGCTGACATATTGAATTTAGAGTTTCTAATGTGAAAATGTTATGTGAACAATATGTTTCATGCCAAGAATACAATTTTGTCCGTTACTACTTACTTATTTGACACAAATTTATGTATAAAACAGCCTTTAACTGTCTATAATATTTAAAAATCCTCATTCTCTTTAAGATTAGATGTCAATTATCATTTTTTTTATTTTAAAAACACTAATATTTTAATTAATTTAATAAAATTTGCGCTCTCAGTCGAAAAATTACAACCATTTATAAAACTTTGTCACCGCCTCCTAGCCTACAAACTTTAATGACAGTTAAGATCGAAGATGGCACAATTATTGCTCCGAGATGTTATCTAGTACAGGAGCTGACGGCTAATTGCTCTCATTACGGTGATAAGATCGCGTCGATACGGATATGAAAGTGAAATTTTTATTACTTTATAATAAGGCAATTGTAATTTATATTCGCAGTTTGCTTCGTTAATCTGAAATACGTTCTTCATCGAAATATTTTTTATATGTTAATGCATGTTATTAAAGTAGATATAATTGTTAAGAGTAGTGGCTAAAGATGATTAGTCATTATTATTGAAATATGTTAGAGTATTTTTTGAGATTTTTCAGCATTTTATACAGAGTCATATGTTATTAACTTCGATCATTCATTGTTTTATTATGGCGCGAACGGTTCTTGAAAAAACAAATCCTTTTAATTCTGTAACATCACCTGACTCTTATACTAATTATGACACGACAATCTAGATTAAAGTACTAGTACTTATTGAACAAAGATTACGTATATAAGTGGAAACAGCTCAGCGCTTAGCAGTAATCGTGGAAGTTATAAAATCGTATTTAAATGTACAATAGTGATCAAGTGATCGGTGAAAGTGAAATCATTAGGACTGATGTGATCTTGATGAGGTTTGTGACCGCGGTCGGCCACGTATGAAGTGCGAAAATCTCTATTTACTAGGAAGTCATTATTCTATTGCTCTTGTAACGGACACTGGCTGGAGAGGGAAAGAAAACGGCCGAAACAGATTGTTTCATTGTTGAAACTGTTTTTTGTTATCAAACGGATGGTTACAAATGATATTAAAAGTAGGTATTCTTTGACCTCATATCTATATAAATAAAAAGTACTCAAAGATTCCTTTTTTGCTCCTTGAACCCTGCCAAACTTAACGCGATGGAAGACCACTTTTTCAAATTCTTTTGTAATTTTTATTGTTTTATTTTATACTAAAATTAGTGACAGAAACTTATCTCTAACTCATACGCTATTCTAAGACGTCGAGTCCCATTCGATCTCTTAGACTACAGAGTCTTATGCAATGGCAAAATGTGAATTGACTGTGAACATTATGCGTCTAGTAACAACTTGCGGTTGTGTTCACGTAATTTTATTGCCCCTAATCTAGACCAAATTGTTACATCCGCCGCGAAATTACCATTTCGGTGTCATGATTTAGTTTTGAGACGATTAATTCGTGTTTTATGGAAATTGTGGCATATATATTCGTTAGTCAGATGCTGTCTTGATTCTTTCATCAAGATCGAGTATTAAGAAGGGTACAGACCAACGGCGAGTAATGTAACATGTTACACATCTATTCATGCATCAATTCTTAACAAGGCACTCGTGGCTCGCTTTAAGTAGTCAAGCCAGCTTTGGTGTTACAAGTTTTTTTATATACTGTCTAATACGGAGAAGTACATATATAAATAAAACACTTTAACGGTTTAAAATGAGATATATTAGTTAAACTTATTTGAAAATGATTTTTAACTTCGGCCCGACGTTCACAAATTTTACCATTTAGTCGTTTTATTACTATTACAGGTGTTAATGAAAAATCTTAACATAACATTGGAAAACATAGTTACTTATTTTAGGCGATTACGTTTACTTAAAGCACGCCTTTTCTGATAGCAAGATCGTTTTTACCGTCCTCTCCTTGTCTCCGTAAAAAGTAAACGATGGTTCTTGAGATGCTTTTTAGAAAACCGCCTGAAGTTTTTACTATTATGTGTATTACGTTGAGCTTTCGTAACCGGCTTTCTTCGGCACAAAAAGCATTACGTGCGACTATTGCTTCGGCGTTGCGCAGGGCAATTTGACCATTCAATTAGTCCTGGCTCTCATTCGTGAATATTAGTCCATTGTGTGCCAAATTTAATATTGGCCGGTGTATACTTTCTCTAATTGCATTTAGATGTGATAGCGGATCGATATCTGCCTACGTCGAATTGATCTATAGTAGCACCGAAATAAAATAGCATGTTCTTAACTAAGATTATATTTGAAACGATTGGTATATGTTTAAAACTTTAATATTTTTCTCATGTTATTGCACTACATGGTATTATATAAATTAAAATTCCTTCTACTAATCTAAGTACTGTCTGAAGTTCACGCAAGTAGTACAAATAAAACACGATAGCCCAAAAAGTTGATGATAGTTGCCGGTTCAAGTATTGCCCGTGTCTTAATTTTTTATTTATTAAGGGTAAGGGATTATTGTTTTAATTGTCAATACCTTTAGATTATTTGTATGATATAATTAGGATACATTATTAATTTAAGTGAGTATGATCTTCTGTCTTCTGTCTTCTTTATTGTCGCGCGCTACTTCCGCATATTACAAACATCGACACCTATTACATATTCTCTTTACAACTGTATGGACACGCATACATCATTCATGTTGACATAACTCAAATCTCAATACAATGTTGACAAATATTCTAAGTTTTGTCTTAAAAGCAGATCGAAGATAGCCTACAATATAACTTCTTGAAGAAGTCCTGTTATAAATTGTCGTATTTTAAGGACAGAAATATTTCTGCCATCACTCTATTTTTTAGCAGACAAGTTACGTCCTGTTAAACTGGAAGCCATTTTCAATTCTTCTTTATCCGGGATTCGAATTCGGGCTTTTCAATAAATGCTATGCTAGTCGTTTTATAATGAGCCTTTGTAAATCAGAGTGGCAATATTTATAACTACAAACGACGGCACACTAAATGCAAACATTGTACAAAGTGAAATCGTTGTCAGTGTATCTATTAGTATTGACTTAGGGCGAGCGGAATATCAATTAGATGACCCGCAGTCATATGTGTAATCGTCTTATGTAACAAAAGGAAAAGGGACACATTTGCATAAAATGTGTTACATGCCATTTCCTTCCTACTAATTTTGATATTGCAAAGGTTTTATAATGGATGTGTGAATGTTAAACTTAAATGAAGCTAATATAACCGTTAAAAAACCATTAAACGTGTTTAAATATATACATGTTTGTTAATATTCCGCGTCTGAAACGACTACAGCAATTTTGATTTTCATAAGGTCAAGTCCTATTTGTAATAGACTTTAGAACCTTTTAAAGGCTTTTTCTCTTCACAGAGTGATACACATAAAGGGAAACTCTTTTAACATACAATACGCGAAGTATATTAGTTCAAAAATGTTGCAATTAATTGAGTATTTCTCCTTCAAATACTAATTTAACGTTAATAATTTAAGCCAACTTATTTACAATTTTTTTTTTGAAGCCTTACTTGAATATGATTTTTAACTTCGGCTCGACGTTTCGCCGTGACCACGGCTGCTGCAAAGCATCACAAACGTCGGGCCGAAGTTAAAAATCATTTTCAAGTAAGTTTAACTAATATATCGCGTATTAAACCGTTAAAGTGTTTTATTTAAACACTATGTGACGTTGACGCTTACTCCGATAATACAAACGAGCTGTTAACGGAAGGAATTAGCACCGAAAGAAAATAGCGGAAAACACCTGGAAGTTAATATTATACGGGAAATGGCTCAGCTGATATCAACACTTTTGCAGTCACGCAGCGTGACGTCGCGTGACGATACAAGTGTTATATACGTAACAGTTTCCTATGAGCTGGAGAGAAAGGAAAAGTCAATTTGCATGAACTTATAATCTTGCCAGGCTTTATTCTATTCTTAAAAAGGTCACGTAAATTTAAGTTATTTTCTATATGCCTAATGCCTTAATTTAAAATAGGCAATGATGATAATAAGTATTGTCTGTGGATGACGCGAGTAGTACATATTTAATTAAAACACTTTTAACAGTTCAAAACGCGATATATATTGCTTACGTTATTTTTATATACTTTGCAGCCATAGTCATCGAAGAACTGTGATGAATATAAAAAATAAGTTAATTAATATATCGCGTTTCAAATTGTTAAAAGCGTTTTATTTATCTAATACAACTACGTACCTACAAAACTATATACATATATCTATCCTATGTATATCATACATTCTTTTGTTTTCAGAATGTGGAGTTCCACTTCGAAGGCACACGAGACAGCCTAGGGAGAGGTCTGCAGGACAGCTGAGGATTATCAAAGGAAGAGAGTCTAAAAGGGGAGCTTGGCCGTGGCAGGTAAATATTTTGTATCATTATGTTGTTTAATTAATGTATGAAGAATAATTAACAACTAGTCATACCTCTCTAATAAACAGAAAATAAACAATTACCCCTCTCCAAAAACGTCTTATTAAGGGAAATTAGGACCTTTAAAAACTTGCTTTTCTTTAATTACATTTATTCAATTTTATTTCAGGTGTCATTACAGCTACTCCATCCAAACTACGGTCTCATCGGTCATTGGTGTGGTGGAGTTCTAATACATCCACTGTGGCTCCTAACCACGGCGCATTGCATTCACAAGTAAGACACTTAATAAACTTAAGTATTTTGACAATAAATAAATATTTAAATGCAATTAAGACTTATTTTTTTTAATTATTTATTTCTCCAGTGAGCTATTCAATCTACCCGTCCCTGCTTTGTGGACAGCAGTCTTAGGTGAATGGGACCGAGCTGAACAGCGAGGAGCATATTTACCAGTCGAAAGAATAGTCCTTCATCATAGATTTCATAATTATCAACATGACATAGGTAAGTCTTGCAAATAATTTTTAAATATTAGCACTACAACAAGTGCAGAGTTTATCTATACCTATTTATGTAAAATTAATAGATATAGTTAAACTCTGCGAATAAAGCCTAGTTACACCTCTAAATGAATTCGTTTCAGCTCTGATGAAGTTAACGAAAGCGGCAGATGTCAGCGCTGGCAGCCGCATCAGAACGATCTGCTTACCGCCCTTTGAACCTACAGTTACTAATTACAACACAGAACGGAGCACGCACTACACCAAACCGGACACAAAACGCAAACCAAAACCCAAACCCAGCCCGGACACTGCGACCAAATACTTGGAGAAACTCAACAATTTGACCAAAAGTGTTTACGGATCATTTAAAAAACATAAAAACACGAAATACAACATTAGGGTATCAAACGAGCAAACAGAAAGAAAAGTAGAGGATTCAAGCAGAAGTGACAATAGAGATATAGTATACGATAGTGCTAATTTGGATAGTGTTATTAAGTTAATAAAAGCTAGAATCGACGATAGACCCACCAACCACCGCAACGGAAAAACGTTTGAAGATATAGAAGAACTGAAGGAAGTTCTAGATCGAGTGAGACGAGTGAATTCTCAAGACAAAAGTGATATAAATAGAAGTGATAAGAAGTTGATGTTCGGTGAAGAAATAGATCCATTTATTGATGATAATAACGGGTTAGATTTTAAAGATGAGTGTTATACGACTGGTTGGGGAAGAGAACAGACTAATGGTAGTTTAACGGATGTGCTCTTGGAAGCAGAAGTACCAATACTGCCGCTGCAACTGTGTAGAGATAAATATTCGTTAAGTTTGCCCCTGAACGATGGACATTTATGCGCTGGGAGCACTGACGGAAGTACGGGCGCTTGTGTGGTAAGTTTCTATAGTTCTGATTTAAGCCAGAAACTCGTGTAGGTTCGATTCCCACCGATAAATTGATACATGGCTATTTAACTTGTCAGCCACTTAAGTGTCAAAATCTTGCTTGCTAATAATTTCAAAAGACACATATCTTCTTTAGGATGTTGCGTACAATTTTATAAGAGAATCGTGTGCCTAATCCTGTGAAGTCTTACTTTTTCCTCTTACTCTGGTTCAGCGAAATTGAATTCCAGCTACGCAGCATTTGTAATCCTTATAAGATCTCACAATCACTTAATTCAATTAAACTATCAATTAATTGAAGTAACAAAGAAAGCTCGCATTTACTTTCTATCAATGGAATGCAATTAAGACAAACAAATCAAAACCTTATCTACGATCAAACACTCTGTCCACGGGTCAAGTCGTTTGAAGATTCGAAGATCGCGACTGGTGATAATGATAAATGGATTTATATGAGTAACTCTTGTATGTGTGCTGATAAGAAGCGAAATATGTGCAACGTTAAAATTGGTCATCGTCATTTGACAATTATAGTCCTCGTCCACGTCATAGCCTTCATTTAAATAATTATAATAAAACTTTTTTAACGGTTTTAAGCGCAACAAGTATTAGTTGACTACAATAAACAAATTGTAAATACTTTAACTTAACTAATACATTTCACCTTTTGAACCGTTAACAGTGTTTTATTTTAAAAAGTATCTTATCGCCTTTCTAGTCATTGTTCCCTTAACTTTATTTTTACAAACCATGAATGCTTATATCTAAATTAAAGTATAAAAAAATATTTTAAAATTGAAAATTCAGACTATCTACATTTTAGATGATAATACATTTTATATACATTGTTTCTAATACATATTTATATTCTATGATGCACGAAGTTCGACTACTTTTTAAAGTTGATACAATCCGATGACGATGTTTATCTTTACTTTACACTTATTTGTATTTCAGGGTGACAGCGGGGGCCCGCTACAGTGTCGAAGTGGAGGCAGCGGAGGGCGTTGGGAACTACGGGGCCTCACATCTTTCGGCTCGGGCTGCGCGCGGCGCGGCGTTCCCGACGTTTATACGAACGTCGAACACTATGTGTCTTGGATTTATGCTCATATATACGCGAGCTAGCGATTGTTGTTAAATCGGGGCCTCAAAAGAAAAACTCATAGCTTTGCTATGTGCGCATGAGACTTGTTTTAATTCCCCACTCAGAAAGACATAGGAGAATTGTCAAACATTGTTTTTGTAAGTTAACCAACGTGCCCCCAGTTATTTTTTATTAATTTATTTGATTACCATTTGTAAATATTACGTCTAGTCTTTAATGTTACTCAATTTTGTACAATAAGATAAATAAAGTACCCTTATTAGATTGTATTTTTTATTATTGTAATAATACCTTCGGACTATATTTACAATTACAACTAATCATTAATATAATATCACAATTGTGGTATACAAATATAAATATAATTTTAATCTAGTTGAGCAATTATTGTAGTCCTATGCCACGTTCACTATAGTCTATGCTCCGAAACGAGTCAACAGAGTTTCATATTTTTCCTATATTTTCCAGCCAGTTCTTTCCTTTTCTATTGACTTGTTTCGATAAATAAACTATAGCTTTAACTCTGTGGCAAAGACAAAGTCTTGGCATAGACAAAATTACCCTACTACTAATGACACTTAATATAAATATTTGAGGAGGTATAATTTACGTTCAGCGTAAATATTACATACAATACTAGATTTAAAATCTTTTTACATTGAAAAAAGGCGAATTGAGTTCCGTGATTCGCTCTAACCAATTGTAATGGAATTTCTTCAATTTATCCTCGCGCATCAAAAGGTACGCATACAATATTGTTATTCTCTGATCATTATATATGTATAATAAATATATTATGGGAAAGCTGTTAACTACCCAATTCTAAATACTTATAACCTAACACCCATAAACCTAGTCTACAACTACGAGTACCTTAGACAAATAATTAACGGAATGTTCGTTATAGGCAAGACTTAATTCATAAAGCTTTTCTTATAATCAGTAAAAAAACTATTATTTTTTTACAATAATAATCTCCATAACAAATATGAAATTGTTCTTTACGTAGATTACTTTTGAATAATAAATATTATTAACTCACTTTAGATAAAAATGCGCTTCATTCGTTCATTTCAATATGAACGTATTTAACTATTTGCTTATGCATTTTCTTTTTTGTTTTTATCAGACATACAAGCCGATTCGGTTTGTTTTTTACTTTAGCGGTATTAAGGGCCCTACGTTCCATCGTCACATACACATATAATCTATAAGGCTTAGATCAATTTTTTTTTCTTCTTTGTCAAATTACATCCCCAGAAATCTTTACATTGTCTTATTAAAGACGCTATACTTTTAAAAATGCGTTTCTAATGTTAGTTAATATTACAATTCTGAGAGGAGTTTAGTCCTCATACAGCAAAGCTTCATTCATCAACAAATCGGGCAAATCTTCCTCTTTAATAGCTAATAGTGATACTGCTTCCTTGGCTATTTCCTCATCGTTGAAAGTCTCAGCCATGTTAAGAGTCAGACTGCTTTTCCGTCTTTCTATAACACTTGGGCGTCTATCCACTGGACGAGGTTTTTGGGCTTGTATGAGCTCGTACTTTGGTCGCCAGATGCGGTAGAGGCCGTGTAAGACAAGAAGACTTCCTATGCTGATAAGAAGAACCTCCGCTGTTAAAATTAGAGGCGGGGCGATAACGAAGCGGAGTCTAAGCAGCGATGCCACTTCTGGTGGTGGTTCATCACAGTACTGCAAAGAAAGAATGAGTGTTATGGTGAGTACAATAATAGACAAATATTACGAAATAAATTATATAATAGAATGTTCGGTTTGATGTACGGCTAATTAAGGGGTCGTGGGTTCGATCCCCACCGGATCCAACGTGTTTCTAATAAACTTATATTTTTTCTAAAACATTTTAGAATTCTGCTCAACATCGGGATATTACATGGATGGTAGGAATAACGAAATTCCGTCCAGATTACGAACCACCGTTCATAGATGAAAAAAAAAACGTGATTCGCGTTTTCGGTTTCAGTCTGTGAATTTTTTTAAACCCAAAGCCATAGGTCGATATCGCATCCAATTTAGATGTAATATGGGATATTTCCCCTTCCATCAAGTGAATCTTACGCTTATCTGTCCTCCTGTCATGAAAAAATCTCTTCCAAACAACACATGGTCACCGAAAAGGTCCAACAGATAGCTGAAGTCAGTTTACATAAATATTAGAACAAGTATTGTGTAATAGAAACTCACCAAAGTTAACCAAATCAGAGGAAGTACCATATCCTTTAAAGGTCTGGTGATCGGGTTGCCGGAAGCCATTCTGACAGCTATGTTCACTTGCAGTTTGGTACTTAATGCCATCGGTACACCCACTCTCTATAAGAATAGTTAAATATTGGAGCCTTTCTTTTTTCATGTTATTATAGAATTTAATTATGATATTATTAGCTGTGTCTGCTACATTGTCCGCGTGGAATAGTTATTTTGGTCATTATGTTTATTTTTGCTAACAACCTTAACTCAACTTTATAAATTATGACTGTACCCACACCGCAGTGTCCCGTCATGTCATTCTTGGGAGTAAATCTTAAAAGATGAGACGTATACTATCCTGGACATATTTTTAGATTATTTAAACAAGAATCACTCTTTCGTCGAACGTCGAATTGTTTTTTGCAGCTCACGCAGCGTAAGCTTTCAAGGGTGAATGATTGTACTTAATTTTTCCTGTTTTTCCACATTTTCTTCTTTTTTCCGCTCCTATCAGTGGCGGCCTGATTTGTATGGCCTAAAACCTATCTCGATAAATGGTCCAATCAACACAAAAATAATTTTCCAATTCAAACCAGTAATTCCTGAGATTATCGTGTTCAAACAAACGAATTCTTTTGCGTTATATATTAGTGTAGCTGTAATGCTTACCGGTTCTATATCGACATGGGAAGCATGATTCACTGGGTCGGGGTACATTCCTTCGTAAAGCTTCTGCTGTTCCGGATCCGTGTCTAAGAAGTGGGGCTTTGACAGAGCTATAGGGAAACCTAAAACAAAGTAAGAAGGATTAAATAATGTACATACATAATAACTTCTTAGAAGAAAATAAAGGGAAGTGTCATTTCATGTTAAAAATAAAAAGATTTATCTTTATTCTTTAAGATTTATACATACATACTTATGAATTAAAATCCCACTGTAGACTGAGGTAATCCACGATAAACAAATACAAAGTATTGTTAGTAGTTTACGCGATTAGTACACATTTAAATCTAGAGAAATATATTTTTTATTTTTTAACTACAGTCCGACTTTCTGAGACACGATACAAAGCACCGGAAAAGTCAAGCCGTAGTTAAAACAAGTCAAAAAGGGTAACGAATACATTTCGCATTTTAAACCGTGCAAAATATTTTAATTGAATAAATAATTCACGTGGAAAAACAATAAAGATTCCATATTGGATAAGTATGAACATGGATGCGACTGGGTTCTGCGGAATTTCACACTTTAATTACCATAGTAGCAACTGCCAATATCCACGAATCCATCTGGCAAGCAGTTGGCGGTACATTTACAGGCGTAACGATTAGTTCTATTGAAAGCCGTTTCGTCCATCTTATACCTGAAAAGATAATATAGTATATTGTTTATAAAGTAGATCAAGCAAAAAAATTCGTATCGATTCTAAGAACAATTAGCTAAAACATATACGTTATATTCCCTCTTTTGTTCCTTCCTTATTCCCGATACGAGACAGATAGACACGCCACAATTACTATTGTTAGTTAATAGACGTATCGTATTCGGTCTTGTAATACAAATATTATTATTTTATTTTCTTTAACTTTAACTATAGTCAATTATCGTCTAATAGGTTTCAAACTTCAATTAGTAACGCCTTATTACTATCTACTAGCAATATTAATCTTAAACGTGTAACTATGTATTATGTAAAAAAAATGTTAAAATATTTTATGCTTTTTTTCATATTGTTGGTATTAAGGAGGCTGGGTCTTAATTTTTTTGAGATATGACGATTGTAGATAGCATCGCACCTCCAAGCTGACAATCAGCATTAAGATTAGTCTAGACTGAAAGTCTCTTACCTAGATAGTGGAATTCCGATAGTTCCTGGCACTTGTTCCAGATAGTTAAAGGGGTAGACTCTGCAGGCCTGTTTCCGGAAGACGGGGAGTGTTGTGCGATTAAAGTTTGTGGGCAGCATCAGACCTTCAAAGGTTCCTTTAAGGCGATTGCAAGGAGTGCTGTAGAGAAAAAGCGATCGGTTCAAGTCAATTACGATTATTATTATTCAGAAAAACTCTACCTTTCTTTCAAATGGTAAAAATATTTAAAAAAGGCGTCCTTTTGTAGTTGAAAGAAACTCGGTAATGTCTGGTTATTTGTAGTAATTCTACGTACTGAATTTAAATATAACACAGAAACGGTTTAAAACATGAAATATATAACTTAAACTTATTTGGAAATTTTTACTACGACCCGTCGTTAAAGTTGTGGCATTCCCTTTATAAATCTAACCTCGTATTAAGGCTTTTGAAGTTTTGCTCCAGAAGTCCAGGCAGCTTGTTCCAGGTGTTTATTGAGAAGCGCTTTGAAATGTCTTTCAATTCAACTTCAACTTCATCTTTTCTTTGCGCGTAGAACTACGAAAAGAGAACAATGTTGTTACGTTATTTCTATAAATACAATAGAGAATATACATATATACTTCAAAATCGTTGTTAAAAAAAAAGGGAGGGTTTAATGGCGTTAACGTTACAACATTTTTATTTTTTTGTACACAAAACTAATATACAATTTAAAAACAATTTTATTATTTTTAAATTATATATTATGTTCGACTAATTGAGCTACCGTATCCACACGTCATTTTCGATTTTTTTCCAACTTTTCAATTGATACATGCACTTCTTGCGCAAGGAAATTCAACCTACCACTTCCGTAGTAAGGTTTTAATTTTTAAGTAAAGGCATCATGTGCAATAACATGTTAAAAATAATTAATGTTTTCAAAAGAATATCTTATATTTTATAAAATACATAATTATTATGTTGAAAAAAACAATTTTCGTGGAAGTGTTTTAGGAATATTCGAATCCAGAACATATTGTTTAAATGAAAAAAAAAAATGTATATAGTGCCATATGTGCAAAAACATGTGAATAATATTAAAGTTTAGACACTGTTTTCTCAACTTTGTGAACTTACCCGATCCATAATACCAATCTTGCCAAAGTCAATCCAACCTGGCACCAGCTTACTTGCGACGTTCACCAGAGGGTCATCGTAGCCCCAAAGGAATTCCCCAGCTGACATTGGCTTGAACAGCTTAGAGCCCAGAGCCGTCATGGTGTAATAGGCAGCTGTGTTGGGCAGGAAACCGAGGCCTTGGTCTGCCAAGAGTGTACTGATCGCCTGAAGAATACAATATCAATTACTTCTCTTATAAATTACACGAATTGCGATATTTGATTAGTTATTTAGTTAGTGACCGTGACCATAGCTGTAGCAAAGCGACGCGACGGGCAGAAAGTTAAAAACAATTTTCAATAAGGTATAACTAATATATCTCACAATTTAAACCGTTAAAGTGTTTTATTTAAATGTGTACTACTCGCGTAAACTACAAACACTATTTAGTATCCCGTCTAAATCAAACACTTGAACGGTTAAAAACGCGATATGTATTAGTTATGATTAAATATAAAATTATTTTGATTACGGCCCGACTTTTCGGATGCTTTGCAGCAGCCATGACAGCCGAATATAGAACGAACGCCCGTCAGTAATTAAAATAATGTACAAATCAGTTAACTTAATATATATCGTGTTTTAAACCGTTAAAGTGTTTTATTTAAATGTGTACTGCTTGCGTAAATTATTTCTTACATAACTTAATAATATACATTATTAAGTCTTCTGTCGTTTTGATTCCCAAATGTTCGTGTATTTAAAATAAACATTTCGTCCGTCTGTTTCACGATCAACGGAAATCCAAAAAAATGGAAACAATACTTTCAAAATAAGTTCAAAATAATTATAATGATAATGTTAGCGGTTTTAAGCAGTTCAGTGAAAAAAGAAAAATGGCATCATAAACTTAAAATTTATGATCTTATTTTTTTTATTTTAGCACATAACTCTCTTAAATTATCACGTTGATGCCATCAGCTTAACTTTTCAGAAACCATAATGTACATACAAAAACCTGTTTGCTTATACCGTATTCAGAGGAACATATTTTTTCTCATATAAACGAAAAAATAAACAATACAAATTGTAGATAAACTTCAAAATACCATTGTTATTACTATTATTGTTAAAACAATTATTAATATGCTCGTACACGTACGGCGTGACATAACCTTCAACTTCTAGACGATTTAGCTTTGTGAAGCCGTCTCAGGCGCGGTTGCACGTGGCTGTGCCAATCACTGGTTCAAGTTAAATAACAAGGTTAGGGGTCCGTACTCAAAGAGGTAAAGATTAGAAAGGAACGAATAGAGTAATGAATCTGTTTCTGACCAATGGTGAAAGACAGTTCAAAATTTAGATATGAAGTACAGCTCTGTCAGAGACTTCGTCCGCGTAGAATAGCTATTTTCGGCATCCAAATTTGTTTTAGCAAACCTCCCCTTCATTTTTATAAGTTTAAACAGACGTCGATCGCGTCCTGTTGTTCTTGCGAGTTAATCCTAAAAGCTAGACATATAGTGTCGCGGATTTTCTTAGATCAGTATAGTTATTTTTTTATATATATTTTTTGGGGTATGTTTAGGTAACCTTTTTCGCAGTATACGCATCGAAAACGAACCTTCAAAGAATTGTTTGCCGTTTTTTCCACATTTCCCGTTGTTTCTTCGCTCCTATTAGTCACAGCTTGATGTTTTATAAAAGACCTAAAGCCTTCTACGATAAATGTTTTAACTAACGCAAAAATAATTTTTCATTTTGAACATGAGATTAGTTGAAGCCAACAAACAAACTCTTCAGCTTTATATATTAGTATAGATATTAAAGTTGCAACACAAGGAATACACAATATGTTAATAGTAAAATTATGTTTATTCATTAATGTACGTGATATAACCGTTTCGGCGCGCAATCTCGAATAGCACTTTGATTTTATTCAGTTGGTTACTAACAAGATTTGAATGAGTACATCGCGTAATTAACATCAAAATTATATTATTTAGACCATATCGTCGCAGTTGAATAACGATTTACTAAAATAGGACGAACAAATAAGACATTGTTTACAAGTGGTTCTTTATTAATACAACTATTACTGGTTTAGACTCAAAAAAACTAAACATACCAAGTAGAACTTTCATCGTAAAACGCTAGTTAATTAAGGTTCTGAACACGAAATAAATTAGTTGATTTATTGTGCGAGAGGTATAGGTTAATTGGTTAGCGTTAGAGCAACAGCACGGAACACTGTGGATGCCGGGTCACGTTCTACCCGTGTCGTTATTTTTTTTATTTATATTAAATTTTATATAGAGTTTAATTTTCCTTACAACGTCACTTTTGGATGCTAGGCTACTTGGTTTGACCCCGGGGGAGCGTTTTTAACCGTTTAAAGTGTAATAATCGCTTACTTAACTACAAGTTACTTACTATCAAAGCGATGTTTGGAACCACGACGCTGTCGTTATATTGCCTAGTTGACTCTTCAGGCAAGAACTTCAGCTTGATCACTGGATTCATAGTCATAACACCACGCTCGTTGTCTATGGTGATGTTTTCATTCGTTCTTAACTCTCTGCAAAAAAGTTTTGTTTTTACATTTTGAAAAAAATATGGGTAAGATTAAAAAGCTAACAGGTAGTATCTATTAGCTTTTTATCCGATAGTATGTGGTGATATGAATAATCCTCCGACTTAGCGGGGACGACACAACACTAGTGCGACGCGATTGCCGCGCGCGTCCCGACACTAGCTCAGGAACTGGTCAAATACGAACGTTCGGTCGCGCGCATTCTGTCGGTTAAGCCTCTTTTTTGGATAATAAATGAATATTTAAGAGTTTAACATTGTTTTTCCGACCTAACAGTGGATAACCACTGACTGTTAGCTATTTAACGATTCCCACGGTTGGGCATTTTTTGAACTTAAGCATTTGCGAAGAGTATGTATACATTGGCCAACTACACCGACCAAATTTTATATGAGGCCGCTTGCGTGGATGGCAGAGTATCCTGCAATTTTGTGACTTGAGTTGTTTATATTTTCATAGTTTAAAAATGTTAACCTACAAGAGCACAGTGCCCGAAAATTGTTGACATGAATTTACAAATTATGTACAAATTAATTTTCGCCTAACTTTATTGCGCGTTTTATTTTCCCAACTTATTCAAAATCATGTTTTTTTATTATTAGGCCATCTAGCAGCCTCATATGTCGTATGAGAATAGATAAACATATTTTTGGTACATAACCGGACATTGAACCCCTATCTATGGACCTATCATATTCATAAGTTTTCTACTCGAAACATTATGTTTATTAGGACGCTTGTTAGTGATAAATAGACGAACTGTTACTTATTCTCTTTAATAGAACTATCTGGAGAGAGAATAAAGATAATATTTGTTTTGACTGTATGTGCAAACACGACTGACCTACTTTTTTATCATAGCGTAACATGTGCCCATCATTTACTTTGACAGTGAATTAATATAAATTTGTTAAAACGATATATTATCATTCAAAAATCTCTACGACTCAAAAAAAACCTTTTCCGGGACTTACAATAACGAAATAGGATTTCGGTATTTTTCTTATGGTAGAGGAGAACAGACAAACATGGCGTTCGTTCACTTATTTTACTTAGTTTACAGAGCAAATACTCTGGAAATTTGGAAAACAAGGCTGAAGCTGAAACGACATTAAACTTCACGGCTTTTTTTTGGGGGGGGGGTTTTTGGCCCGGGGGGAATTTTTTTATTCCTTACCCCCAATTTAATATCCAGGTTTCCAGACGAAGCCCAACACGTTTTAGAAGGAATAGAAATTGATTAAAAAATTATTGCACCCGCTGGGGATAAAACCATACCCGATAATTTGTCACCCACCGTCGTGAATTGCCTGTCGCAGGTTCGATTCTTTAAATGTCCCATAAATATTATAAAATGTCTTACTGGAACTTATAGGGGCCTAGTTCTTGAAGTTTCAGCTTCTCTTCACCTCGTAGAAACTGATCTATATTCGTGTAGTTAAATATGTAGACGTCCGAGTACACTTTGTACGTCGGGTTAGACCACATGCTGTAGATGAATTTTCCCTCCTTCACTTCTAGGGCCTGTGCAAAAAACACTATATTGAAATTAACAATGCACGATTACGTAATTATTTCAAAAATTCAAAAAAGCCAATTCCATAAGTAGAAATAGTAATTTTCCTTTAATATAAATAGATTTGATTCATTCATAAAATATAAAAAAAGAATTTTCGTTTCTTAGATTATAAATAAATTACCTTTAAAAATACAAAATCCACATTTTTTGAAATTACTTATTTGAAAAATCGATTAAAGGACATCTTTGACTGTTTGTCGTTTATTATACCGTCAAAGTAAAAAAAAAACAAACCCAAAGCTGATACATTAGAAAAACCCACAAAATATATTCCATTAAAGAAATGGACAAGGTTAAAAGCAAATTGACACATCACGCCTTAGTATTAGGTCAAGAATATAAAGTGTCAACAATTTAATAATTGAACTAATAACATTTAACCTAAATACAAAAGTAAGAATGAGTATTGATAGGCTTGTTATAGTAGCAATGTATTAGCAATATCATCGGGTCGTGGGTTCGATCTCCATCGGAGTCAATATGTTTATAATCGATTTAAAAATTTTTGGTAAAATTTTGAGATTAGAAGATTTGGATATTAGATTGGTGGTCGGATTATCGAGTTGTCGTCCGGGTCACGAACCACCGTCCACAGATCAAAAAGCCGTGAAGTTCAATCGTGTTTATGCGATTAAACTTGACGGCACGGAATGTCCAAAACCTAGATAGGCCGACAGCATATCTTGATTCCATCGAATAAACCTCCTTATTTGTCCTCCTCTATCATAAAAATTATTGATCGCGACTATATGCATATTTTTTGACGAGTTATATTATACTTTGTGTCTTTTTAAAGGTTCTAGGTTCGATTTAAGATATTAAATAAATCTAATTTATCTAACATGTTACGAGTTTAAAACATACATAATTCCTATTATAAGGTCCTAATATTCAATTCCTAAAGGTCCTATTTGATACTATTACACAATATAAACAATCCGCTTAATATAAAAATACGGAAGTTTACTAAATAACTCACTTGGTAACACTTAAAACAGCAAACATGGATTTTACACATTAACACTAACACTTAATGACGTAAATAATAATCTTTATACGAAAACATAGTCATAGACAGCGGGTTGCTTTGACTACGTTTAACGGCCATGTCAACGTTAAAAATGGCACTAAGTATACGTGTAGGTATTTAAGTTAATTTTAACGATTACTTCATTATTATGATTTTCCTGATTGCCTAATAGACAATCGGTCTTAGCTAGCATCATTCGTTTAGTGGCGGTAATCGTAAAAACCTACCAGTCGGCTATACGCCCCGCAGTGCGACATTAATTTGTAGCGAACGTTAAATCTACATTCAAAACACTTTTAACGGTTTAAAACGTGAATTTTATTAGCTACATGACTGAGGGGACATCCTCCATCTTTTTCCGTGATCTCAGCTGCTGTAAAGCATCCGAAAGGTCGAGCTATAGTTAAAATCATTTGTAAGGTTAACTAATATATTTCCTGTTTTATTAAAATGTGTACTAATAGCGTAAACTACAGACAGTATTTAAATGCTAGATTTGATTACAACAAACCATTATATTTTTTAACGTATTTTTCTTTATAACACTTCACCACAGAATCTCGTGGGTAGGAAAAAGTCTTTCGAGTTCTTTCTTTCGAAATTCTTTTGCTTATCATACATTGCATCTATCGGGGGTCACGGACACCAGACATCAAAACGAGTCGGTCCAAGGGCCTAATAACTTAATCTGCCCATGTCAAAGTAATGTAAAAGATTCCTAGAAGCAGTTAAATGTTTAAAAATTGTTATTTGTATCTCACCATAGGCAAAATGTAGGGAATCAATATAGTATTTTTTTTTAAATGCATAGGTCGTTTTAATCTACCAATTTGATCTTACGTATTTGGAAGTAATATTTATATTTGAAAAAAAACACTTTAACGGGGGCCACCCCTGACCACGGCTGCTGTAAAGCATCCGAATCGTCGGACAAGTTAAAAATCATTTTCAAATAACTTTGACTAATATATATCGCGTGTTAAACCGTTAAAGTGTTTTATTTAAATGTGTACTACTCGCGTAAACTACAGACAGTTTTTAACCTCTTCTCGCTCTCGTCGGCGGAACAGCCCGAAAGACAATGATATGAAGGATGGCCGTGAAAGCCTTACACAATTTAAGACAATATTCATTATTCAATTAAACATTTCTGGTGTGCGCGGTTTACAGCAGTCCATATCATTAAAATGGATCTATATGATTTACTAGTAGTGGCGTGACAAACTTGTACCTTCAATTTTAGCAAGGTATAATCGACGGGTCGTGTGTTCAAAAAATATATTGCTTTTACATGAGAGATTTTTATAGGAAAATCTGGAAATGCATGTTTCAGTTTTTAGTCTGTTTATTTATAAACGTCCAAAGCTGAAATAGATTGACAACGTATTTTATCCAATGTTATATATGGAGGTAATATTTCACACGATTGTCTGTAATAAAAATTAATTTATTTTCGTAACAGCTTTCCTAGCCGCTTGAGTTGTATAGAAGGCCACAGTTTTCCTGGCTCCAGACCAATTGATTGGTTGAATCCAAAGGTCAGACACCTTTTGAGTGAATGAACCTGATTGTTATGCCTTGTTTTCTACAACGAAGGTTATCGTAAACAATTAATAGGTGAAGGTCTAGTGCATGAAGATCAAAATAAATATATTCGTTCAATTAATTCATAACGATGTATTGAAAATATATTTATAGTTTATTATCTTTCGAGAGCCGTGATCTCGTGGTGTCTTCGAATCTGGAGGTCACGGTTCGATTTCCGGTTGTGCACTAAAAATTGTATCCGCCTAGCGTATCTTATAGTTTTGAGTCGAAGGAGAAGTGAGGACCTTGCGAGATTAATATTGGGACCTAAACAATAAACAAAGTTCGAATTGGCTGTAGTGCGAGATGTAGGTATACCGTTCACGAGATCCGACGGATCGTAAGACCTAATAAATTTAATTCGCGTTTTAAACCGCTAAGAGGTTTGGATTGTTATTCTTTAAATTGTTTGCTTTTTTATTTTAAGATCCCTACGTTGTTGCATATTTTCCTTTAAATAACCTTTAAACCCTAGATATATACGAATGGTAGATGCGATATTATATAAATATACAATTCACGTAATAGCTTTTTAATAATTTTAAGTCATAAAAATATGACAGTAATTTAAATCGAACCCACGATCTCCACTTAAAATAACAGTAAAGTTAAGGATACTTCGATTTGACGCGTTGAGACTCAGATATATATATCGGAAATTACAAAAAAGAATAGCTGCCTTCGGTCGCCATTGCGCTCTGGCATCCGACATATATATAGACAAAATAAAGCTTACCCAGTTCGTGTACACGACCAGAGGGTCGATGATGAATGTCAAAACTCCAGCTATTATCATCAGGGTTCCGTAGACCAGTGTGATGACGGATTCTGTAAACAATGTTATTTGTTTATTAAGGTAGATTATAAAACAAAATTGTAAAAAGCGTTCAAATGTTAAATGTATTTAATAATTTTTGAAGCGATCTTAACGAATGGAGACACCTCTTTGGGTGTTCGTTCTTGCACTTTCCAATTGCATAATCTAACACTTAAATGACAAATCCGCACTAAAATATTCCGTGTAACGTCTTCATAGAGCGTTACAATATTTTTCGTGGAATATTTAATTCGTACCACCTTGGAGTGTTTCACCATTTCGGTCTTTCCAAACTGTATTAGGGACCTTCGATCGAATTCACTCTACAAATCTTACTTACTAGAAATGTGACGAATGTATATTTCCCCTTGATATATAGAAATAATAAGAATAAAACACGAACCAATTCATTTAATTATCACTTTTTACGGTTTAAAACGCGAAATATATTACGATATTTGGCACACCCTCCATCTTGATCCCAGCCCATGACTAAATCATAGTGCTGTTAAATTAAATAATAGTTACTATATAGCTCACGTTTTAAACCGTTTAAAGTTTTAATTTCACAAGTCAATTCTAGCAATACAGACGACACGTAAATTATACCTCTTCTAATAAATTAGAACCTTTATAATAATAAGGTATATTTTAGTATGGTTAGTTTGTCTATGCCAAGGGTCTGTCACTTTCAATTTGTTTAAGTATGGCTTTTTCTTATCATAGCAACATTTAGTCAACTGTTTACCACTACAAACCTAAGATAAACTCCTCACAGACTGCTGTGATAGTAAAATTGTATTGTAATTTGCTAAATTGGCTATTCTGATGGACTAAATTAATTAAACTTACTTTCTAAAGTCTCTGACCTCTTGTTGAAATTCTCTGATAATATTTATTCACCTGTACTAGACGAGCCCGGTTCATTTTATTTATCGTTTTTTTCCCTTTCAATATTGCAGGATATAACCCACTTTTAATTTACAATATGTCACCTTATAAAAAAAAATAATTTTATAATATTTCGACGAAGTCTTATTCCTGATGGCAGGCCGCCAGAAATAAAGGTAATTAGAGACAATAAAGAATTGATAATAATGTATTACAATTGAAAAGTATTTGTTAATTTGAGTATTATAATTTTGCTGTCGGCAGACTACCTTGTAAGAATGAAAATCATTAGTTATCACTGTTACATTACTCACGTCGTTTCTGTACTGTGAAGCTTTGTAGTTTTCTGAGTGATATCCGACTCCTGCTTGGCACCGTCTGCAGCGCCCCCTTCGGCCCGAACACCATTTTGATCCTGATAAAAACAGAAAACATATCGTACTTTTCGGCGATCTGAACCGCACACCTTCATATTAATTTCCATCATGGTTAGATTAAAATGAGCAGACAGATTTTTTGTAACCCGCTATAATCCTTATCTAAAAGTTCCATCAAGCATGCATCATTAAATTATTCCTTTGAAGCTTTAAACTAGTTTTATTATATTAAAACATTCGGCGACGGATTAGAAGTGTGAATTACGCACATTTTATTACTCCTAAATTATCATTAAGTTTTTAACAAATATCTTACGTCAGAAATGGACCTAATCATTCAGATTGACTGACGGATAGCGCGCATTTTGACGTGTCATAAATGTTTTTAAAATGTTAATTAGTGTTTTCAGTTTAAAGCATTTGTCTCACGTATGTTTTTGCTGACACATATGACTAAAAAAATATCATATGACTAAAATATGACAGAAAGCCTAAAAATTCTTGTATTTTGTCCTAAGAAAAAACACAAAAAAGGAAAAAAAAAACCCTTTTTTTTGGAGGAAAATTAAAAACTTTTACCTTTTTTGAACGCATTAATTTGTAATAGATACTTAAGACAATGATAGTTATAAAGTACAATATAATTTAAACCAATAATTCTTCTAAGGGCTTTCACCGTAAAACCACGGGGTATAAACCTCGATTATTTCGCAAAACTGACCGTTTTCTTGGTCCTACATCACCTATACATGTACCATACAAATGTTTAAACTACCAAACACCTTAAAATAAATTATCCTGCCTGATCATTAATTTTACTGTCTCATTCACTTAAGTGGTTTAGGCATTGCAACTTATATGGTTAGGCACGTGAATTCAGATTTTTAAAATCTCGAAACACGTGAGATCAACCACCTTTATTTTTTCCTAGTTAAGGAGTCAAATGTCAAAATTAATCATCTTCGAGACAACATTGTTTTTATCCTTCTCATACTTTGAGTTGAATAATTGAAAAGGTAGAAAAACAATAATCACACGTTCTTTAGATGACAAATGGTTTCCTCGTGAAACTAATCAATAAAAAAAAGATAATCAAGTTGGATAATTGAAAATCTACAATCTGCAGCATATCTTGTACATTATGAAATGCGGTACAATATGATAAATCCCAACTATATGCAACAAAACTATATGTTAATAAGGTGGTTCAGATAATTGAAACACATTGTTTTATGGAATTATGTGGCTTCGAGTCCCGGCAGTATATTTAATTTTTAAATTAGAGCGATGTTCTTTGTCACGAAAATAATGCTAACTAAATGTTTTGATAAATCAAAATACATTTATCAGTACTAATATATCCATTACTCTATTGCAAATGTACTAATTTCAAAGTCTTTAGATTATCATAATGCCAGTTTTAATTACGATAAATTCACTAATAATTACAAATTCCAATAAGGCCATAACAGTTGAACATTTATTTTATTTAAAGATATCTTGTTGCACAGTAACATACCATGTTAGGTAATAAATTACTTTAGCCTGTACAAGTAATGTCAAATAATGTCACATAGAGTACAAGTCAACGAATCAATAAAATAAATAAATACATGTTGATCCAACAAAAGGTGCGCTCGCGCCTGTTCGACTTTATTGCTTATAATTTTAGCTGGAGTTTAATGCAATAAATATTACTAATTCCATGAAAAAAATATAACAGGAATTAAAACAGTGTTAGAAATCGCTTCTACTTTATTTCATCCAGATAGTAAGTAGTATGGGTAAGAAAAGCTGATCCTTTAGAAAGAAAAGAAAGAAAGAAAATCTTTAGAACCTGTTTCAAATAAAAAAAATGATTTACGGACACTTCAATTATACGTTTTTAAATAACGAATCTCGGAACATTTATTTCTTACTAGCTGAGCCAGCGACTCCGGATGAGTACGGTTCCACTTAACTCTCAACATTCGACTCTTACACTATTCCGCATTAAAATAATTGGTATTCTAAGCGAATGTGTATCCGTCCGTTTAAGTATGCACGAAAAAGGTTAGACTTTACCGAAAATTCAAGGTCATTAATATTATAAAAGTTTCGCTGGAACCAACGATACCAACATTTTCGGAAGCTCTAATTAAATTATATTCACGTTGTTGGAAAACTCTTAAAGCATTATGATTTTGTCAGTTAAGGATAAATTTAGAATATACCACTCTTTCGAATACTGAGCCAAGTCTAATAAACATTTAGTGAAATTCCGTTTCCCCATCGTGGGGCGTGGGACGAACACATTTCTGTGTCCGTTTCACTTATCGTCCCTTTTAACAGGCAAGTAGTTGATCAGACTACTTGAGTGTTAAAAAAGACGGATTACCCGATCGAAACAACTTTTTTTTGTTCCCCTGGGATTCAAACCCAGAACCTCACGCGCTTAACGCAATGCTAGGCATTACGATTAACCATTTGACTACAGAGACTATACGCAATAAACATTATGACAAATAAATTAATGGCGCAGGTAACTATACATATATAGGTGGACTATAAAAATATCATACATCACTACATAATATAAAACAAAGTCGATTTTTCTATCCCTATGTGCGCTTGATTTTGATTCGGGTTTTTCAATAGATGGAGTGATTCAAGTGGAAGCTTTTATATACAACTTTCACAGTTTTCCGTAGTGTATTTATTATTAGTATTGCACCTGAGCGAAGCCGGGGCGGGTCGCTAGTAATATATAATCTATAATCTGTGTAAATAAAAAATGCATTGTAAGCGTCTTCCGTCAGTACTATAAAATACTCGTTCATAATGTCCCCTTATTGATCGACGGTAATGTTAAGAACGTCACAGTTTGGCAAAAAACGGCATTGTTTGAATGCGATGCAATTAGATAGATGATTCTAATAAAACTGCTATTAAGGTTATTTACACTTGACCCGGATGAAATATCCATCAGGTTTAATATAAACAAACTAATTTCAAAGGGTAATTTAAAATTGTGCGATTTGAACTTCAGACATCGTAATACTGTAATTAAATATAAGGCGACAGTTATGCAGAATCCGCTAGTAACAATGTGTATTACATTACTTCGTCAAACTTGCTCATATCATACGGGGTAGAGATGTTTGCTACCCTTATAGACAATAACTACTCGAATAGTTTTGTTCTACACGAGTATCAGGGTAGATTGTAGTCTGAGTGGTGCTGTTGCGTTTAAGAAATATTTTTACGCGGACCTTGTAACATTCTAGGTTATGTCTCCGCAAAAACAATCCCACGGTGGAAGTTCAAGTTCTTGGCCACGTGCGCTATGCATTAATATTCTGTGTATATAATACGTAATAATCCCACAAGTGGGGCAAAAACGACGATACAGTGTTGATACTATTTTGTAATAACTGAACCTCGTGTAACCCGTCGCACGCGCATCGAAGCGAGTCAAGAATTTCGCTTTGCGTAACTCCTAATACGAGTTACGACGTTACTCGTTGAGGATTCGTAATATAGGTAATCTCAACATTGTAATATTTGATATGTTATAATATCCCGTCTGTGGGACATGGGGCAAACACATTTGTATGTCCGTCCTGATCGATTTCATTGCTCTATTTTGCTTTCCCAGCATTCTTTACACATTATTCAGTGTGTTTAGCAATATAATTGTAACTTGTAATGCAGTGCTATTTGCCGTACCAAAGAGTCAATTTTTTTAATTAGACACGGATATTCTATGAATTTTAAAAATAAATAAGATATTTAACATTAAATTATATTTAATAAGACTTCCTGGGAATCTACATTGTACACTGCAATGTACTGTAATAATTTTAATACTCTTAATAAATTAACCGATAATTTTATAGTAAAAAGTATTCACTTCAAAGAGGTAATAACTGCAAGTGTTGCCAGACAAATGAACAATCGACCCAAGTATGTTAAAGGATAAATACATAATTGTATGTAATAATGTAATCTGCAGTTGCCATTTTAAGGAAGCGAGAATACTGAAAAGGGAATTAATTGACGGCAATAAAGCTTTTACTTTTTTGCGATTAATTTGTCATTTTTCGTCAATTTTCACAACTCGTTCACCTTTCGACGATTTTGAGAGGCAGAAGACGAGTTTAACATGATTTTTAAGCGGTTGTTAATAATTATCTGCTTTGGGACGCGACCTCCTACTAAAGTATAGATTAAGAGGTTAACTTCCGCTCCGAACTATATGACCATGAAAAGATATATTTTCTGCCCAAACTGAAATCGAACGCCCGACCCTTTTTATCTTTCTTTGATCGAAGCCATATGACCAAATCTGGAAAGAAGATTCGGCTAATGTTTTTCAAAATTATGTCCGGTCGTCGAACCAACTGCCATAGATGGAAAGAGTGATTTTCAAGTTCGCGTTTCAAAGTCAAAGTCGAGTGTCTCTCTTTTGATTGTGCATGAGTCACTAAATGGAATAACAATTTTGTAGACTTTTCACTTGCACAAAGCCTTTATAATTTGTATCAACGTATTGAATTGTAATTTTACTATTTAACTAAATGTACAACGATTAATCAAAAAAACTTATTTTTTTGCTATTAAGTAGAAAATAAATTAATGTTCGTAAGATTCGACGGGTCGCGACTTTCGGGTTGGATTTCCGAATATCCGAAGCCTTCTTGCTTAGATGTTATATAAATGGGCTATTTCGCCCTACATAAGGTGAACCCCAAGTTTATTCCTGTTTTTTAAAAAGTGTTTAAAAATAATTTAACTTTCTAAGCTTTACAGACTATACAGATAAAGCCACTTAGATATAGGATTGTAACGCAAGAGCATCGTCTATCTTATACGTTCAGTACACATTGTAAAATACATAGTAAATAACAATATCTAACAGGTTTTCATTGTCATAGGTGACGCCAATTAATTGTTGGAATCTTACATCAACTGAGACAAGCAGATGGATATGCAAATACAAATACATAGAATCCCCGTTTTCCTCATTATAGAATATTTAGGATACTGTTT